CCCTAGGCCCGTGGTCGGCAAACCACGGCTCGCGAGCCACATGCGGCTCTTTGGCCCCTTGAGTGTGGCTCTTCCACAAAATACCATGTGTGGGCGCGCACGTACAGTGTGATTGAAACTTCGTGGCCCATGCACAGAAGTCGGTATTTTGTGGAAGAGCTGGTATTTTGTGGAAGAGCCACACTCAAGGAGCCAAAGAGCCGCATGTGGCTCGCAAGCCGCAGTTTGCCGACCACTGCCCTAGGCTAAAGTAACCTGAGGCATTTAAGAATATCAACTTTTTTCTTTTTTGCAAATCTGACTCAAATAGTCAACACTTATTCTTTACAGCTTATAGATGTTTTTGCTATGGATATAATATCACTGACCATGGGCATTGCTTTAAAATTGGTCTGTGTTGCTTATAAAGCATCGTGTCAACCACTATGGTTCTGGAGTTCTGAAAGCTTGTGCAAACAAAGGTGTGCACTTGCCTGTGTGCTTGTGAAGGAGACTAATGTGATCAGGGCATTGCTGAGTTCTGACAGGTGAATTCCTCTTGGTCTGATTGGTCCACATATCACTTTATGGTGGATACTAGCAAGCATGTAAGTCAGCTATCATATCTGTTCTTGCTGTCAGGTGATGTCCTTTAGGCTCTACCAGCTGCAGTATATGTGATCATTTATTTATTTTGTAAAATGGCAAGTAGAATTGCTACACAGCACCCTCTTTTTCCTCCCTAAGTTCAGAAGCAATTGATAGATAAATCAAAGGAATGGCAGATACAGATCAAAATGTCAACTTTATTTCTGATAAAGCGAATGATATCAGAGAATGTGGCTTAGGTACAAAAACAACAAAGTGCTTTCTAATACCAAATTTCAGAAATAGCCAGATTTTTTTTTAATCCTCACCAGAGGATATGTTTTTAATTGATTTTAAAGAGAGGAAGAGAGAGAGATGAGAGAGAAACATCGGTTCAGTTGCCTCCTGTCCAGTATGTGCCCTAACAGGGAATGGAACCTGCCACCTTTTGATGTATGGGACGATGCTCCAACCAACTGAGCCACACTGGCCAGAGCTGAAATAGCCAAATTTATATCCCAAGTCACAGGCTCTGAAGACCTCTTCATATGAGGACCTGTCTTGTATACTTTATAGCACCAGGAACAGAGTAAAATGGGGAAGAGTGATAGAGGGAAGCTAAGCCAGAAAGGAGTGTTATAATAGATGTTCTTCCACATGAAAAGAAACAACGGAATGAGAAATTAGTGTCTCAAGTAATAATTTTAAATAAATTGCTATCATGTATTTTGAGATTTTATAGATAAAACTCCTTTTAAAAAGCTAAAAAGATATGAATCTTTATACTGCACCCTTGTATAAAAGAAGCAGGAAAATGTTCACATACAACTGAGTGTTCTCAAGCTAGTCTGGGAGAACTTTGGTTGTGTCTGGCGATGCTCTTGTACAGGTGAGGGCTTAGACAAGGACCTGATTACTGTGGAGCTGCCTCTAGTGGCAACCTGCAAACACATCCTAGATTTCCAGTGAATAAAATAAGAGAAAGGTAATTTATAGTTCTATCACAAATCTGTAGCTCAGATCAAAATGGTTAATTTGAAATTAATTGTAAGATCTTTTAGAAAATTTGTACCACATGGTTATCTTGCTAAAAAAAAAAAAATCCTGCCTAGCATACTGCCTAGTACATAGAGTTCAATAAATACTTGTTCAGTGAATGAATCTTGACTTTAGCTTCAATTTGAAATCAGTTGAAAGCCAATGATGATTGAAAAAGTCTTGCAGTTTTGAACTTCTTCTGAAACAAAAATTCCATGCCTGTGAGCACTAATGAATGGAAATTAGAAATGTACAGAAAGAGTAACATAAGCTCTTAACTACTTTCCACTAAACCTAATTGACAGGAATAGCCCAAACTCCCCATTTTCTCTGTAAAATAGACTGATGCCCAAAGCAAACTAACCACTCCTGATAGAAGGCTGCTGTCTAATAATACCCATTATTTTGAGTTGCATGTTTACTAAGGGCCAGTTGTGATTATTTTCATACCATTTTATACTAGTTGTGCTAGTTATTATTACATGATTTATTTAAATATTACTGAAGCTGATGAAATATATGTACAAAAGTAAAAGAGTTGTTCCTCTGAAAACGAAGGTGAATGTATTGGAAAGACTTCATAAGAGGAGAACCCTTAAAAGAACCGCTAAACCACATGATCCCTGTTCACAGGTAGTTTATGGCCTTGTAGTGTAGCTATGATATATGTAAAAATAACTCTCATGTAGGGTGTAAATGCCTTAGGAAGAGTTCACATTGAGATTCCAGAAATTTAGGGGAAGACAATTACTTTTGGCTTACAGCATCAGTGATGGCTACATGGGGAAGCTGATATGTGAGCTAGTCTCTGAAGAGTGTAAAGTTAGGATATATAGAGGTGATTCATTCCAAGTGAAGAGAAGGATGTAAGAAAAGACACGAGGGAGAAGGCCGATGTTTGGCTGGAGCACATGGTTTATGACCATGGGTATTGCACTTTAAAAATTGGTCTGGTTACGAAGGGGAAGAATGGAAAGTAAAACTAGAAAGATAACTAGGTTCCAAATAGTAGAGAGCCCTAACTTCCAGGCTGGTCATTCTGAAAATAAGATACTTATTCTTCTGATCCACAATGAATTTCTGTGGTCTTTAGTATATCTACAAAACAAGCACTTTTTCATTCATAGTTACATGGATATTTTTTCTTAATTCCCTAATGGTTTATAAGCACTGTTTAATCTAAGCTACTTTGCATTACTTTGCTCAACAATGCATATAATTAATTTTCTGCTAAAGACATAAGGATTCAATTAATTCTTGGTGAAATATTAATTAATGATTATGCTTTTAAGAATTCTTGCTTCTTTTTTTAAGGCCCTCATAAAATAGTAACAATTTGTATTATAAGATCACAAGTTTGCTTGGTGTTTTATATATTAAAAACATGTTTTCAAAGTTTGCAATATAAGCAGGATCATAAGTGACTTTATTGCTGTGTTTTAACAATCTATAATAATAAAAGCGTAATATACTAATTAGACTGGACGTCCTTCCAGATGTCCTTCCTTCCGTACAAAGCCGCAGTGGGCGGCAGAGGCAGCAGAGGCCCCCCGGCGGTGGGCAGGGACCGGAGCCAAGGCCCTTGCATGAATTTCATGAATTGGGCCTCTAATCCTAATATATAAAAGCTCAGGGTTGTAACGACAGATCACGACCGAAGGCTGACCAACCCGGAAGTCCTTCAGTCAGCGCTGGGTTGCCGTGGCGACCCAGCACTGACTGCCCCACTGCAGCCTGGCAATCCAGCACTGTCTGCCCAGGGGACTGAGACCCAGAGAGAGAGGCAGGGGCTGATCCGCAGCCTCAAGGGCAGCTGTTGATCAGTACTTGCCTCTCTCTTTCTCTCTCTCTTTCTTTCTGGGCTTTTCCAGCAGCCAGGCCTTTCTTTCTCTCCCTGCCTCAAAGGGGACTGCTGTTCAGCCCCACCTCTCTGATCAGGCCTGGAGATAGGCCCGAGATGCTGACTGGCATAGGAACCGACCAATCAGAACCAAATGTGGGTGCTGTGGAGAGCCAATGGCTGCCTAGGAGGCGGAGCTTCTGATGCTGACTGGCATAGCAACCAACCAATCAGAACCAAATCTGGATGCTATGGGGAGCCAATGGCTGCCTAGGAGGTGGAGCTTTTGACGCTGACTGGCATTGAAACCGACCAATCAGAACCAAATCTGGGTGCTGTGGGGAACCAAAGGCTGCCTAGCAGGCAGAGCTTTTGATGCTGACTGGCATTGAAACCGACCAATCAGAACCAAATCTGGGTGCTGTGGGGAACCAAAGGCTGCCTAGCAGGCAGAGCTTTTGATGCTGACTGGCATTGAAACCGACCAATCAGAACCAAATCTGGGTGCTGTGGGGAACCAAAGGCTGCCTAGCAGGCAGAGCTTTTGATGCTGACTGGCATTGAAACCGACCAATCAGAACCAAATCTGGGTGCTGTGGGGAACCAAAGGCTGCCTAGCAGGCAGAGCTTTTGATGCTGACTGGCATTGAAACCGACCAATCAGAACCAAATCTGGGTGCTGTGGGAGGCCTGATCCCACAGGAACGGGCCTAAACCGGCAGTTGGACATCCCCCAAGGGGTCCCCAATTGGAGAGGGTGCAGGCTGGGCTGAGGGAACCCCCCCCTTCTCCATTCACAAATTTCATGCACCGGGCCTCTAGTTGATATATAAAGCACTTTAACAGATTTAGTTGGGAAAAATTCTACCCATGACCTTGTTTTGTTTGTTACACTTCTGGTTAGTGTACTGAGATTGTTGGAGAGTAGCATAAAGCAACATGAAAATCTAAGCTATTGTTCCTAATTATATTCCTATAAGGAACTTTAATGTCACTTTAGCTGTTAGCCACAGGTAGGTATAACCAGTTCCTAGAATACGTATCTTGAGCCTAATAGAAACAAAAGGTAATAGTTTAAAATTTTATCTTTCAGAACAAACTAGTTTGAGGACCTTTTACTTCTTTATAAATGTAGTGTTTTTGTTTGTCTTTTAAGTAAAAAAATGAGAGTACCAGTTCAAAACAAAGATGTTGGTGAAATAAGGGAAACTATTATTTTGGTAGCTCCTCTTTGATGGCTAGTCATTTTCTCTTTAAAAATTTCAATTTGGAGACACATATTCTCTTTTTCTGTGATGGGTTTTCACTTTATGGCCCTGACTCAGCGTTCCCATGATATATTTACTGAACAGCAAATTTTAGAGTTAAAACAGAAATGTATTACGTAGGGGTAGGGTGGAGGTGGGTACTTGGAAATAAAATGAGCTAGGAATCAGAGAACTAAGGATTTTGAACTTTGTTTTCCCCCACAGGTAGAAGGAATTTGCTGAGATTTTTGAGCAGGGAGTGACATGATGAAAATTTTTAGTAAAGCTGGTAGAAGATGGGCAAGATGAGTTGAGGATGGGGGCAGATAAGAGGTACATATAATACTAGCTGAACAGTTAGGAATGTAATGTAAAAATCTAGAGGTGATATGGTTAAAAAAATAACAACACTAGGTCAGGGTGGCTTAGTAACAGAGAGGGCACAGATGCAAGAGCCATTATGAAGGTCCAGGTGACTAGAGAGGAAGCCTGAGTGACTAGGTGAGCATGAAAGGGTGAGGTGGGGAGGGTAATTCTGATAAGGGAGGTGATGAATTTAACTTTAGTTTTTTAAAAAATATATATATTTTTATTGATTTCAGAGAGGAAGGAAGAGGGAGAGAGGGACAGAAACATCAATGATGAGAGGATCATTGATTGGCTGCCTGCTGCACACACCTACTGGGGATTGAGCCCACAATCCGGGCATGTGCCCTGACCTGGAATCGAACTGTGACCTCCTGGTTCATAGGTTGATGCTCAACCACTGAGCCACACCAGTCAGGCTTCCTCAAATTGTAATTGCTTTCTATGAAGAAAGACTAACTTGGCATTCTTGTCCAGAAGACGAAGCCCAATAATTGTTTGCATTGCTTTTTACATACATTTATACATATATATAAAATATTCAGGCTTGGTTTTTTTTTTTTTTTTTTAGTTTGAGGATATTGATCCATTTCAGTCTAGGATGTGTTATATTTGACAATTTTTGAACTTTATTTTGTATACTTCTCTATTTTTGATATGGGCGGTAAATTTATCTCTATATTTTAATTTCACATTAATACTTTAGCTGGTAAATGTATGATATTTACTTATTATAAGTAATTAATATAATGTTTTTATTATAATATATGTGATTATTAATATTATTATTTTTTACTGTAGATTATCAGACCAGGATGAAGAGGGCAAGACCAAGGAGAAGTGTATTATATCTGACCCCTCCTTTTCCATGGTGACAGTTCAACGGGAAGATAGTGGAATAACCTGGGAAACAAATTCAAGTAGGTCTTCCACTCCTTGGGCTTCGGAAGAAAGTCAGACGTCTGGTGTATGTAGTCTGGAAGGGTCAACTATAAATTCTACTGCAGGGAATGTTTCCTTTATTGTGGATGAAGTTAAAAAGGCCCGGAAAAGAACATCTAAATCAAAGCATGGCTCACCATCGTTGCGTCGGAAAGGCAACAAAAAAAGAAATTCTTTTGAAACCCAAGATGTTCCAGCAAACAAAAAAGATAGTCCTTTAATTTCGGAAAGCCAGGTACTAAATACCCAGAATGAGAAGTTATCTAGTGGCAGTTATGATAAAATGAGAAAAAAGAAGACCACCTCAAATACACCTCCTATTACTGGGGCAATATACAAAGAACACAAGCCATTAGTATTACGGCCAGTCTATATAGGAACAGTACAATACAAAATTAAGATGTTTAATTCAGTTAAAGAAGAATTAATTCCTCTACAATTTTATGGGACATTGCCAAAGGGTTATGTAATTAAAGAAATACATTATAGGAAGGGGAAAGATGCATCCGTTAGCCTAGAGCCAGATATGGGCAATCGTGATTCTAATATAGTTTCTAAAACAGGCAAATTAGTAGGCCAAAGCATAGAAGATGATAAAGGAAAAGAGCTTACTTCACCCTGGAGAGGTGCTCTCTCCAAAGGATCAAAGTCCCATACCTCCTTATTTAGTCGAGAAGACCAAAAGAAAATTTACCCGGATTCTTCCCTGAAGGCCGCTTCTGCCGCCAAGCACACAGTTTCCTCTTACAGAAGTAATGACACAGCAAAGGAAACACAGCGCAGCCCTCCCCAGTCAGTGCCACAACAGCCAGGTGTTGAAGCAAAACCCCATGAAATGGAGCCTTCCTCTCTTATGCCTGATACATCTGCAACTGCATTCCTGGAAACAGCAAAGGAAGAATTCGAGCCTGATTCACAAGAAATTGTACCTTCAGAACCTGAATCTTTAGTCTCACCACCTTTCATGGATGAGGTAAAGAAGGAAGACGTATATTCTACTGACCATTCCGTTTCACCGGAGGCAGAGAAGGATTCTCTGGAAACAGGTTCACCAGGTCTGGCAGCATCTATCCAGGAAGACATTGGCCCAGAGAGAGAAGAATTAGATCTGACTTCGCTAGAAAGGGCAGAACCAGTCTCTGAACAACTGACCTCTCCTCAGCTCGATGTCAAAGGAGAGAAGGAAGAAAACGTGCCTGAGCCACCCATTTCTCTTTCTGAACACTTAGTGTCAGAGAAAGAAGAAATAGAGACTTCTGTACCAATAGCTGCTACCCCTGAACCTGAAGATTCTCATTTAGTGGAGGAAGAGATCATAGAACTTGATTACCCAGAAAGTCCATCTGTTTCTGAGAAACCCTTGCCACCCCACTTGGCCCCTGAAGTGGAGCAGAAAGAAGAGGAGCCCATTCTACCATCACTGACAACATCAACACCTGAACATGTTGCTTTGTCTGAGGAAGAAATAGAAGAAAATGAGTCTGTTTCCACTGATTCTGCTTTCGTATCAGAGCACTCAGTCCCACAGGATATGAACCATGAACTAGAGAAGCAAAAAGTTGAGCCAGTTTCTCAATCCATTGTAAAAGCTACATCTGAACATGCAGTTTTGTCAGAGGAGGAGAATGAGGAATTTGAGCCTTATTCGGCCTCTGCATCTGAACACTCTCTCTCACCATCTATAACTGAGAAGACTTCTGAATGCCAATCCCCACTGTTTTCAACAGTGTCTGGAGAAGAGGCCGCAGAAAGTGGGCATTACACACCAGATTCCACATCTGCTTCTGAATATTCAATTCCATCACAGGCAACAAAAGAGTCACTGAAGAACATTGACCATAAGTTCCCATTAGAGTCAAAAGGTGTTTCTGAGCACATGATTTTGTCAGAAGAAGAGAAGGAAGACACTGGCCTGTATTCCCCAGATGTGACCACTGTGGCTGAACACTCTCTCCCTCCATCCACAGCTGAGGTGACTTCTGAGTACCAAGCCCCACCACTTTCAGCCACTTCTTCTGAACATGTGGTCCTATCGGAAGAGGAACTAGGAAATGAGCATTTCACACCAGATTCAACATTGAATTCCCAATATATAGTTCCACCAAATGTAACACAGGAAATTCCAAAGAAAATAATTGATGATGCATCTCTCTTAAAATCAAAAGGTGTTTCTGAGCACATAACTTTGTCAGAAGAAGAGAAAGAAGACACTGGGCTGTATTCCCCAGATGTGGCCTCTGTGGCTGAACACTCTCTCCCCCCATCCACAACTGAAATGCCTTCTGAATACCAAGCCCCACCACTTTCAGCCACCCCATCTGAACACGTGATTCCATCAGAGGAGGAGACAGTAGGAATGGATCGGTACACACCCTCTTCCACTGCTGCTTCTGAATTTTCAGTACCACCACATGCAACACCTGAGTCACAGGAGGAAGAAATTGTCCACAGATCCCCTTTAAATCTAAAAGGTGTCTCTTCACCCGTGAATTATTCTGAAGAAGAGCAAGAAGATGTTGAACCTTTTTCTCCAGACTCTGCATTTGTGTCAGAGTTCTCATTCCCACCCTATGCAACTCAGGAAACAGAGAGAAGAGAATTGGAGTGTGAATCTCCAATATGTTTAACATCACCATCAGAACACACCATTTTGTCCGATGAAGACACTGAAGAAGCTGAACTTTTTTCTCCAGACTCAGCATCACAAGTTTCAGTCCCACCATATAGAATCCCAGAAACAAAGAAAAATGAAATTGAGCCTGATTCACTGTTAACTGCGGTATCTGCTTCAGGATATTCCTGCTTTTCAGAAGCAGACGAGGAAGAAATTGAATCAACAGCTGCTACACCAGTACCTGAGCATCTCAGTTCATCACAGAAGCAACAAGCTGAACCTTCCCCTCCGATGTCTGCATCTGGAGAGTTTAGTCTGCCAAATAAAGCAGAGGAAGCAGATGCTCAAACATTTTCAACATCTGTGTCTGAATATCTTATTTCATTACAGAAAAAGGTAACTCAAGCATTTTTAGAACCTGAGTCTGAAGATTTGATTCCACCGCATTTAACCAGTGAATTAGAGAAGGGAGAAATTAAGACTAGTTCATCAGTAGCTGCAACACCTGTTTCTGTACCTGCAGAATCACCCACAGTAAAGGAAGAAACCAAACCTGTTTCACCTTCATCTCAGTATTCAGTTTCACCTGATTCAGTCCATGCACTTAAGAAAGAACAAGAAACCAAAGCATTGCTCACTCCAAAAGCTGCAAATGAACAGATGGCTTTGTTTAAAGTTAAAAGTAAGGAAGAAATTTTGCCTGATTCTCAAGAAGCTGCAGCACATGTATCACAGGATCAAGAAATGGAACCTCAGCCTCCAAATGTTCCAGGGTCTGGAATGAAATTTTCCACTCTGTCTGACTTGGTAGATGAGCCAAAGAAGGATGTCAAATTCAATTTAGCTCCAACTGTGACATCTGAACTAGAACAGAGAATATTGTCAGAGAATGAGCCTGAAGTAATAAAACAATATTCACCTCTAAAAGAACCACCTTTATCTGGGCCTGAGAGGTTATCAGCAGTGAAAACGGAAGTGAAACACGATTCCAAAATAATTGGTGTACCTAGAGTGCCTCGTTCAGCTTCACCAGGAGTGGAAAAGGAAGTTGAACATGGACCATCTGCACCAGAATTTTCAGAAGAAAGAAAGAAAGAAATTGAACCCAGTTCTTCAATAACCACAACCTCTCTAGCTAAGCATGATTCAAACTTAACCAAATTAGCAAAAGAAGAAATCCCAACAGAGTTACCTCTTACTACCCCTATAGAACATTCAGTCTTAACTGTAGGAAAGCGTGAATTAGAAAGTGGTTTGCCACCATTGGTAACATCTATGGATGAGCAATTACTCCTTAAAGACGAAGGAAAGATAGCAATTAAAGCTAGCTCTCCTCATATTGAAACTGTTGCATCCAAACATCCAACTTGGTCAGAAGCAGAGAAGGAAATTAAACTGGATTCACCTCCAAGCATATCCTCTATATCAGAGCATTCTATTTTGTCAAAGGTAGAAACTGAAGAAGTTAAACCTGGGTTGCCAATAACCAAAACACTGTCTTCTCAGCATGCAGATGTATCTAAGGATGCAAGAGTGGAAAACAAACAAGGTCTTTCATTTTCTACAGTCCTTGACTCTGAACATTTGGCCTTACCACAGAAAAAGAATTCTGTGTCTGCCTCAGAGGTGTCAGGGCTTTCAGTCAACCTAGGTGGTGAGATAAAGAAAAAAGAAGCTGAACTTCCTTTCTCACAAAATGTGTCACCTGCACCCAAACATGAAGTTCCAAAAGGCAAAACTGAGAAAATGGCAAGTTCTTCTCCCAAGTTGGAAACTTTAGTGTCAGAAGATTTAGCTCCAACATTACCAACCATCAGTGATGATAAGAGCAAACAGGCAATGGACACATCTTCTACAGCTCAGGGAGATTTTCTGTCAGAAAAACAGGGTCTCGCTCTGGCAGAGCTCTCTTTGGAACCTGTGAAGAAAGACAAGCCACGCCAAATATCAGAATTACCAAATGCTGGTGGTTTAGGTAGGCAAAGTGGATCTATGGACTCAAAACAAATAAAATCGCCCATGACTGAAACAGGGGGTTCTGTCTTAGGAAAGGGCCTTGCTGAGCTTAGGAGCAGAGGAGAAGAAGAAGACAGGGAACTTCATGTGTCAACCACAGTGCCTGAAATTTCAGAGGTTTCATCATACCTTAAGGAGAAACCTCCAAACCAAGAAATTAAGTCTGTCTCTCCTAACGTAGTCAGCTTAGGGTCAAAAGAAGCATTTACCTCTTTGGTTGAAGGAGACAACCCTGAAGAACTTCAGCCATACACTTTCACTTTAGAAGGATTATCAAAAGAGTTGAGCCATTCAGTTGACTTTAAAAAGGGGGAAAAACAAGAAATAAGCTCATTACTGCCAACAGGAAATTTGAAGGCACAAGTGACAGGAGATGCTGTAACTACACTAAAAGAAGAAACAGACCAAACACATTCATTCCCTGTACCCCAGAGTGTAACGAAACCATCAAAGATGGTTTCTTCTGACCGCCTTATGGAACAAGAGAAGCCTGAAAACACACTTCAGTCAGATCAGGCTGTTAAAGTACCTGATGTAAGCACATCTTTTGTGGCTAAACAAGATTTGGGTATTAAACAGCTTGCAGTTATGAAAGAGAATTTGCCTTTGGAAGAATCAAAATCATTCTTGACAACCGAGTGTGCAGATGTTAAAGAAACACAAATGAGAGAGGCCCTTATTTCTCCAGAGGACGAAAACTTGATTCTGGAAAAGCCAGAAAGAGATCTGGCAAGTCATCGTGAAGAAAGAGTACTGGGATCTGTGCAACTGGGTTCCTCTGGCAGCACTGATCTGGAGACGGGGCAGCCCAAGGCTGCTTTGTCGAGTAAAGACCGTGCATATGAAACTGGAAAGCAGATTCTGCCACATTCTGCTGAAGAACCTCACTTATCATTACAAGAACCAGTAACTACTCATGATATCCCCAGTGGTAATGTAGAGATCTTATCAACTAAAACATCTTCTGAAGAAATAAAGCTGGTCCCCCAAACAAAATCTTTCTTTCCAGCTGGAAATGTGGAGAGAAACGAAGCAGAGGGGAAGCAGGTCTTTTCTTTCACGAGGAGTGAAAGTTCAGTGTTGGAAAAAGCAAACACAGAGTTTTCTAGACCTTGCAAAGACAGCCAGGAAGAAGTCAAACTGCCTTCTGAAAGAATCCTCCAGAAACCAGTGTCTGGTCCATCCATGGAACAGGTCAAGTCAGAAACAATTCCCTCTCGTGCCAAAGCAGCTCCTTTCCTGGCAGAAGATGCAGAACCTGTGGTGGGCTATAAAAAAGAAGCACTCAGGAGTGTATCTCCTTTACCTGGAGAGAAGCAATTGGAAGAATCAAAAATGGATCAGTCAAAAGTTGTAGATGATGCTAATGAGAGAGGGAAACCAACATCTGGAATGAAAATATCCACACAAATAAAAACCTCAATCCTAGAAAATAAAGAACCTCAGCCCCCAGAATCACCTGAGGTGACACAAAAGCTGCCTGAGCAGCCAAAGGCAGTTAAACCAGGCCATTCTGAAGAAAAGAAAAAGAAAGGAATTTCATCTTTCACATCATGGATGTCCAATTTGTTTTTTAGATCAAGCACTCCAGATAATAAAGTTGCTGAAAAAGAAGATTTAGAAACTCAACCAAGTCCATCTATAGAAAAAGCAGCGACTGTGATAGAGCCTAAAGGAACAGCTCCCGCTGACTTGAATGCAACTGAGAAACCAGCTGATCAACTGCTACCAGAGGCAAAACTCATAACTGCTGAAGAATCCAGAGGTACTTTAGTTAAATCTGAGGAAGGTCAAGACTTTAAAGAAAAGCCTACTCTTTCATCAAATGGAGAAGTTTTACAGCAGCCAGAATCCAACTTTGAGGTGTCCAGTGAAGATCATGGGAAGAAAGAAATGGACCTAAACTCAGTAGTTACTTCTGTTGATAGTGAGGAATATTTTGGAATTCAATCTTATTCTCCGATGGGTGAGAAATCTATTATGGAAGAAGCCAAAAATGTCTCTGATAATAAAAGAGCCCAGAAGCCAGAAATCTCTTCTCCATCTAAATGGAATATTTCTATTCTTAAGGAAGAGCCAAGAAGTGATCAAAAAGAAAACTCACTCTTTTCATCTGATGCAGTGGATAAGGTGACACAACAGCCAAAATCAATTTCATCTAGCTTCACAAGTGAAAATACGAGGGAATCAGAGAAGCCAGAGTTAATAATTTTGCCAGAAAACTCTAAAGGCAGTTTAATTAATCTTGGTGAGGACAGACTAACGAAAGAAATGCCAAAACCTACTTCCCTGAAAATTTCTGAAGAGGAAGTGAAACTCAGGTCTGTTAGCCCAGCTGAGGAGAAAGATAACTTGGAAATCAGATCATATCCCTTGGCAGAAAAGAAGGTGCTGGCAGAAAAACAAGAAACTGTGACCCCATTAGAGTTAAGATATAATAATGAAATAGAAGAGACACCAATTACACATGGATCTCCCCATATTAAATTGGAAGAATCAAAAGCTGCTGCTGTGCTGCAGCAAGTCTGTCAAAATGAAGACTACAAAGAAAGACACAAAATTATTGAGGAGGAGAAAGGAAAAGAAAAAGAAAAGCAGCTACAAGCATTTTCAGAAGGAAAGAAGCAGCAGGAGATTCAGCCTTATTCTGTGAATATAGCCAGGACTATGCCTGAAAAATCAGATGACTCTTTAAGTCGTTCTTTGGGTGAAACTCAACCATTTTCATTAGTCAAAACTACATTAACTATTGAAAAATCAGAAACCATGATCTCAGAGACTCACCCAGAAATCAGGGAAACAAAGGTAGTAGGAACCCAGCCATCTCTATTAGAAGAAAGTAAAGTGTTGGTGGAGAAAACCAAGACTTTCCCTCCAGTGGATCTTCCTTATCGCGACGAACTAGATGGCCACTCCTTTCCTAAGGAAGGAAATTTGGTATTGGAGAAATCAAGCAGGGATATGGCAAGTCACAATGAAAAAAAGGGACAGGTCACAGTGTCAGAGCTGTCAAAAGGTGGTTCAGTAGATATTACAAAAGATAATATAAAACAAGGATCTCCCTCTAAAGAATCAAAGAGCTTAGAAACACCGCCATCTTTGTTGTCATCTGTGAAACCACAAACACTTGTTTCAGAGGCTTCTCCAGAAATTAGTACCGTAAAGAATCAAGAAATTAGTACAGAGAAGAAACAAGAATTGACTCCAGATAGGCATACGGTCCATACTATTCAAACATCTAAAGTACAAACATCTGAAATGTCTAAACAATCTGTACTTGTTTCAAAGCACCACTTGGGGGCTGTAGGAGCTGCCCATGTAAATGAACCACACTCTCCAGCAAGCAGCAACTATGCTGAATTTATAAGAAATGCATCAACAACCAATGCCAATAAAATATCCAGAGAGCCTGAAGAAGAATATACAACGACTAGTAAGCCAGCTGGACTTTCAGAAGATCAAAAGAGTGCCTTCAGTATCATTTCTGAAGGCTGTGAGATATTGAATATCCATGCTCCGGCATTTATATCTTCGGTTGATCAGGAAGAAAGTGAACAAATGCAAGATAAGTTAGAATATTTGGAAGAGAAGGCCTCACTTAAAACTCTGCCCTTCCCTGGTGATAGTGAGGCAGTTGCTTGCCATAAAACATTAAAGAGTAAGTTAGATTCTGATAAAAAAGTTACATCTTTGAAAGAAAATAAACAAAAGGAAACTCATGAAACAAAAGAGGAAATAGCCACAGATTCAGAAACTGGTGATTTAGCCTTTAATCAGCCCACAGTTCCCGGTGAAGAGGATTATTTTGAAAAATATACATTGATTGATTATAACATCTCCCCAGACACTGAAATACAGAAAGCTCCAGGGAAATTAAATATTGAGGTGAAACTCTCAAAGGAAGTTACAGAAGAAGCTGTCTCTTTCCCAGAAAGTTCAGAGGAAAGTGCCCTAGAACATGAGTATGACTTGGTGAAGTTAGATGAAAGTTTTTATGGACTGGAAAAGGACTACAGCAAATTATCTCACTCAGAGACCCAAAAGTCTGTGGTTATCCAAAAGTCAGCTGACAGAGATGCTTCAAAGAGCACAAATAGAGATGTGGACTCCAAGTCACCTGGGATGCCCTTATTTGATACAGACGAAGGAGTTTTGTCACGAACCCCGATATTTCCTACCACAGCTAAAGCCATTAATCCTGAACTTCTGGAGGAACCACCTGCACTTGCATTTTTATACAAGGATCTGTATGAAGAAGCAGTTGGAGAGAAAAAGAAGGAAGGAGAGACAGCTTCTGAAGGTGACAGTGTGAATTCTGAGGCATCATTTCCAAGCAAAAATTCTGACACTGATGATGGAACAGGAATATATTTTGAGAAGTATATACTCAAAGATGACATTCTTCATGACACATCTGTAATGGAAAAGGACCAAGACCAAGGTCTGGAAGGAAAATCAGTTGGTAAGGATGATTCATACCAACTAATAGCAGCAGAAAGGGAAATTGGGGCGAGGTTTAGAACTATTTGGGGGGAAAGGAGTCTAGAAGAGGAACAGAAAGCTTCTTACAGGGAGGGAGAACCAGTAGGCCATGTGGAGACCCTTGACAATGTAGATACACAGAGGAAAGCTCCCATCACTGAGGAAGTCAAAGTGGTTACCCAGAAGATAAGCTATGCGATTCCATTTGAAGATACCCCTCATGTTCTGGAGAGCAGAGATGAAACAAGCACTCAGGGTAACGAAGCAGCAAATGCAAATCCAGAGGTCAATCTGAATGTCCCAGTACAAGTGTCCTTCCCAGAGGAAGAATTTACATCTGGTGCAACTTGTGTTCAAGAAACGCTGCAAGTAGAACCTCAAATAATGGTCCTACCTGAGCCAAGTGAAGATAGGCTCCGCAGTAGCCCTGTCCAGGATGAATATGAGTTTGCTGAATCTCTGAATTATGAAGTAGTTACTCAAGACACTTTGTCAGAAAAACTGCATTCAGAATCCACGCCTGAAGATGTGTTATCTCAGGGAAAGGAATCCTTTGAACACATCAGTGGGAATGAATTTGTGAGTGAGGTGGAACAAAGTATGTCTTCTGAACAGAACGAGTTGGGCAGAGAGAGGACAGAAGACCAATTATCATCAGAGTTAGTAACTGAGAAGGAGCAAAAAGAAGCGAAAAAGTCCCAGATTGACACGTATTGCTATACTTGTAAAAGCCCAATTTCTGCTGTTGACAAGATATTTGGTACCCACAAAGACCATGAGGTTTCAACGCTTGATACAGCTATAAGTGCTGTAAAGGTAAATAGATTTTAAATCATTAATCATTAAGTACATAATAATACATACAGGGGTGGGGAAAAGTTGTGTGTGAAAGTTTATTCTTGTGTTATTATTTATTAACTAGAGGCCCGGTGCACAAAAATTTGTGCACTCAGGGGGGTCCCTCAGCCCGGCCTATGCCCTCTTGCAGTCTGGGACCCCTCAGAGGATGTCCACCTGCTGGCTTAGGCCTGCTCCCTGGGGGATCGGGCCCAAGCTGGCAGTCAGACATCCCTCTGGCAGCCCAGGAGCCCTCCGGGGATGTCCACTTGCCAGCGGGGAGCAGGCCTAAACTGCAGTCGGACATCCTTAGCACTGCTGAGGAGGCGGGAGAGGCTCCCACCACCACTGCTGTGCTGGCCAGAGGTCAATCTGAATGTCCCTGTGGGAGCGCACTGACCACCAGGGGGCAGCTCCTGCATTGAGCGTCTGCCCCCTGGTGGTCAGTGTGTGTCATAGTGACCAGTCATTCCCAGTCATTCTGCTGTTAGGGTCAGTTTGCATATTACCCTTTTATTATATAGGATAGAGGCCTGATGCATGGGTGGGGCCCGGCTGGGTTGCTCTGAAGGGTGTTCTGGATCAGGGTGGGGGTCCCCACTGGGGTGCCTGGCCAGCCTGGGTGAGGGGCTGATGGCTGTTTGCAGCTGGTCACACCCCCTTCAGGGTGGGGGTCCCCACTGGGGTGCCTGGCCAGCCTGGGTGAGGGGCTGATGGCTGTTTGCAAGCTGGCCACATCCCCTTTAGGGTAGGGGGCCCCCACTGGGGTGCCTGGCCAGTCTGGGTGAGGGGCTGAGGGCTGTTTTCAGGCTGGCCAAGCCCCCCGGCGACAGAAGCTCCCAGCCTCTCCTTTTTTTCTTTTTTTCTTTTTATTCTGGGATTTATTTACCTTCTATAATTGAAACTTTGTTGCCTTGAGAGGAGCTCAGAGCCAGCCAGGGTGGGCGGGAGGGAAGCCTCCTGCTTGCTCCAGCTTCGTGGCCATGGCCGGCTGAAAGCAGGTATCTGGGGTTTATTTACCTTCTATAATTGAAACTTTGTTGCTTTGAGTGGAGCTCAGAGGCACCGTGGCAAGCGGGAGGCTTGGCTTCCTCCATCATTGGGGCAACCAAGCCTCCTGCTTGCTCCAGCTCTGTGGCTGCCGGCCGCCATCTTGGTTGTGTTAATTTGCATATAGTCACTCTGATTAGCTGGTGGGTGTGGCTTAAGGCGTAGCGAAGGTACGGTCAATTTGCATGTTTGTCTCTTATTAGTGTAGATTATTGTATTATGTATCTGTATTACAACTGTAAACTTACTTTTGACCACCCCTGTATAACTGTAATTTGTTTTCATATTTTCTCAATTTAAAAAAATGATCAGTATTTTCATATTCATCTTTAGGCATAACAGTCTGAAAGAAAACTTAAGAACATTTCCCCGGGCATTTAGTTAAGTTCAGTTGACAAACATTTATTATGTATACACTATGTGCCAAGTTTTTTTCTAGATTCTGGATCTACCAGGATAAATAACACAGGGTCACTGCCTTTGAAGGGTCTTAACATTATCCAAAAAAGTCAAATGACTTTAAATTAAAATATACTTTTGTGCATAAAACAGTTTATTTTCTGTTACCTACAATATCATCCTTTAAAATACACATTTACATTACATTGAGCAATTTTATTGCAAGTTTTATAAAATAGAGTAACACATTTTAAATTAGTTTTCTCCATATTTCCTCTTTATCAAATTTATGCTAGAAATGGAAAACCTAGCTATGTCTGTAGATTTTTGATGTTAAAAAATTATCACAACTCATATCCTTATGATGTTAAAAAATTAGTCACAATACATATTGTTATGTATGTGACTATAATACTCTACTTCCCCAGAGATACTACTGGAAATAAGCTGTTTAGTCTTTGAGATTCCTTCTGCCTTTGAATAGCCTTCTAAGTGGAATACCTACTCTTGTCTCTTTGATCCATCTTCCATACAGCGGCCAGAATGATCTAAAAATGCAAATAATAAGAAGAATTGAGCACTTATTCTGTGCCAGGCAGTGTGTTCTTTATATACAAGATAAATTCAATTTGCAGATCATGAAATAGGCTCAGATAGTTTAAGTGATCTGCCCAAGGTCAAGGAAGACAAAACTAGAATTGGTACCCAGGTCTGTCTGGCATTAGAGTTCATGTTCTTGGCTGTATATCCATGTTGCTGGGCTCAGTAACTTCCTAATGGTAGCAGTTTTCAATATGATTATTCAGATAGGTCACCGTTAAATAATTGCCAGCAAACAAGGGTAGGGAGGTCATTCTAGAGATAGGGGGCTTATGGAGAAGAGGCAGGGGCTGGAGAGGGAAGCAGAGGCCAGATCCTGAAGGGTCTTCCATCAGTGTCATTTCTCCATTTATTCTGTGGATAATGAAGCTCTGTGTTTCTGTGTTACTTGTTAAGTTTAGCAGGATAGATTACAGCTAAGGTTATAACTACAGCTAAAGTAGGTACCATCTTCCCCCATCACCCGTGCATTTTCTAATTGGCAGTCACCCCTTGAGTATTTTAACCCTTTGGGGATCATTAGGACCTTTAGGTATTTTTAGTAGATAGTTTATATCATTTGATATGTAGACTTCTGGCCTGGTGACACTCTGATCACCTCTCAGGCTCAGGTGCTCCAGGCTCACCTGAGGCCATTGGCACAAATGGGATAAGACTACTCACGTAAGTTAGGTCAATTCAGCAAAAAGCCCGCTATTAGAAGAAAGGCAATATATACAAATTGAGGCCTTGCTAAGGAGAAATTCAAATCCAAAGCCCACTAAAACAAGTATTCTTTGAACTCACCAACTTACCAAGAAGTCCTTCCTCTTTTATGAGAAAATACATTGTCTTTGTGTTGCTCTCACTCATAAACTTCCTAATTGCACAGAATTATTGTACAGAATTATCTATAGTCAATTTAGATGACGCAGCATGAAAATTTAAAAACTGATTTGTTGGTGAACATGTTATAGTAAACATACTAAATTTATAAGGAAATTAAACTTACCACTTGAAGTTCTCAAATGTCATGTACTAAAAAACAAACAAACACAACACACACCCAAAGCAAACAAAAAAAAAAAATAAGAGACAAAAAAGAAAAAAAACAAACAAAAAACAAAAACAAATCAAATGTCATATACTAAGGATATCTTAATTCTTTTCTTCAGGTTCAATTAGCAGAATTTCTAGAAAATTTACAGGAAAAGTCCTTAAGGATTGAAGCCTTTGTTAGTGAGATAGAATCCTTTTTTAACACCATTGAGGTAAGTTCCTATTTCCCTTTAACTTTTACCTGGTTTGTTCATGGCATCACAAGTTCATTATTCTGTTCTAAAAGAATCTGAGTTGGGTTTGTGTGCATGTGTTGTTTGCCATTGTTGATTTTTTTCCATTAAGTCTCCCATCTGTGTGTAATCAGTGAGACTACTACTTTCTGTCCAAAGGTAAATGATTAGCCCTTAAAAACACATACACATTTATTGGGCACTTACTGCAATAAGGCAAATGCTTTACATGCTTAGCCAATTTAATCCTCATAATAACCATGTGAAATAGGTGTTATTATTATTCCCCTATTATGGATAAAAAACTGAGACTTAGTGTTAAGTATATTACCCAAGGTCATATGTTAAGAGACAAGGTTTGAATTCAGGTCCAAGTTCTTATTTGCTCCACCATCCTGCCTTTCCCTAGGCTAGCTCTGCAGAAATGCTCTAAGTCATTGCCCGATGTCCCATGCCCTCATAAATGAGTGTTTCTCATGGTACCATTGTCTTTGATGAGTTCATGCCCTCCCAGCTGCTGGCCCCGGCTCCCTCTGAAGTGAAGGGCAGGCATGGCAACGCTCCATCCATATACAAAGGTGGCCCAAGCGTACTTGTCAATCAGGAGTGGCAAGGGGCCCCTGCAGAAGGCTGGTGCACAGTTTTTCTATCACTAGAGCAGTTCTGCATCCTAGTTTGCTTGTGAAAAGTCTGCTTAACTCCAGTGATAGCTCAATTAATAACAGCTAATTATTTTTTGTTCCCACCCCCACCAAAGTGTCCCATGTAAACAGTAAATTATATGATCACCTTATCACCAGCCATCTCATGAGGACAGCGCAGCATCTGGGTTTGTTCAGATAGACAATCAAGTTTCTCCTACTGTGGGGAAGCACCCCCTTCCTGGAGAGCATATGTGAAGGTAGCATCATAGCCAATATCCTGGCTGCCCCTTCCTCACACTATGATTTTAGTGGAGTGGTGAAAGTGGCACAAAACCCTCGCCATTCCCTGAAGGCCATGAATCTTCCTTCACTGTGATGCCATTTTCAAGTTTTACCATGTGGGAATGCTGATGGGGAAGACTTCCATGCACATATCTTTCTGTGTGTTTTCATGAACTAAATCCTTCTTGAGGGTGCTCTTACAGTGAATTCTGTTGCAGAGCTAACTATGTCAAAGGGGGGTTGGTGGGTTGGATATTTAGACTGCACATAATCTGTGATTCTCTGATCAGAATGCCTGAGGTCAATTCTTTAAAAGGCTGGTGTTTCTCTAAAAAAAAAAAAAGAAAAGAAAAAAAGACATGCACTTCTCATTTCATTCAGAATTTTGTTCTGTTTTGTTTTAGGAAAATTGTAGTAAAAATGAGAAAAAGCTAGAAGAACAGAACGAGGAGATGATGAAGAAGGTTTTAGCACAGTATGATGAGAAGGCCCAGAGCTTTGAGGAAGTGAAGAAAAAGAAGATGGAGTTCCTGCATGACCAGATGGTCCACTTTCTGCAGAGCATGGATGCTGCCAAGGACACCCTGGAGACCATAGTGAGAGAAGCAGAGGAGCTTGACGAGACCGTTTTCCTGACTGTAAGCACCGATCAAAACAGGCCCAAACACCTCACACCCACTCTGGCCCAAGTCTACTTTTAAAATTGTAATTTTCAATATTCCCTAAGATCATTTATATACCTGTGTGGGGTTTTTTCTTTTATATAGTTTCGACATTATAAAAATTATTGGGGCATGCTGGATGCCTACGGAAAAGGCCCAGCAATTCCTTAGCACCCCTATCCAGCTGCAGGATACATGAAAGTCAGGGCACAGCCTCATCTGTTCGTCACAATGGGTTGGTCACCTTCTAAGAGGGAGGAAGAAAAGCAGCCTGTGAATCTTATTCATGCCATGCTCCCTTTGGGGGCCTGGCATTGTCATGCTGGCCCCTGGGCCTGTCCTCTCCACTCCCACTCCCTCATCTGAAGTGACCTCTCATAGGGACCATTCCCTCTGAGCCTCGCCAATTGGCTGAGAGTAACATTTGGTTCACTTTCAGAATGCAAAAGGATGATATAGTGTGATACCTCTCTCAGGTAACACAGGGATGTTGTTATAAGGGTACTCCTATGGACCAGATTCCTTAATTAAACAAGTACCTTGTGGACCAAGATTCCCAAATTGCACCACAGAGGCAACTCTTTGCTCTCCTAATTCCCCTAGAACAGTGGTCGGCAAACTGCAGCTCGCAAGCCACATGCGGCTCTTTGGCCCCTTGAGTGTGGCTCTTCCACAAAATACCACGTGCGGGCGCGCACGTACAGTGCGATTGAAACTTCATGGCCCATGCGCAGAAGTCGGTTTTCAAGGGGCCAAAGAGCCGCATGTGGCTCGCGAGCCGCAGTTTGCCGACCACTGTCCTAGAACATCCAGTAGGATACCGGCTCTTCATGGAGCCAGGATTAACCAGGAGTAATGGAGATATTTTCCTTGAGGGAAATTCCCAACCTAATTATCAACCAAAGGAAAGCACCATCTAATGGTGAGTGGGGAGCCTCCCTTTCAAAGCTCTCTGGTCCACCAGGCCCTCCAGTAAGGTTTGGAGATAGAGCAAGGCAAAGTGGGTCAATGTTAGGCTTTTCATTTGCCGCTGGGGATACCTCCAGCCAGGGCAAATTTAAGTGAGGTGGACATGGCATCCTCAAACACAATGAAAACCATTCAGGTGCTTTCTGTTTAATTAAGGCAAAGCTTTAATATTTTAAAATTAGGCACCTCTTGCGAAGTACAATATTAATAAAGTGCTTTGTGTTCCCTAAGAACCGTACTTTTGTTTGATAAGAATATTTTCTTTTCTGTCTAGAAGAACAAATTGTAAATAAGAAAGCATTGGTTTTTTTCTGCTTATAAAAGAGACATATATCTATTTTAGGAAATTTGGAAAAGATAGAAAAGCACAGAGACGGTATCACCTAGAGATAACTACTGATTACATTTTTTGTATATATCCCACATTGAACAAATTTAAGTCATTTTTATTACTTCAGAGAATTCTATTCTAGAAGCCATTTGTTAATGAAGAGAGAAGCAAAGCCTAAGCAACTCATTGCTGGCCTTGCTGATCGTGGAGAGTTAGAGCAGAACTGAGAACTGAAGCCCCCTCCATCCCTGCCCTGCTCTCCACCCTCCCCATCCCTTCTCAGCACTAATTTCCTTGCTGCCCCAGCTGAAGCCACCCAAAGGGAAGGTGAGGAGTGATGATTTTAGAACATGCTTAGCCTTAATTCTCTAGGTTGGTTTTTGTTGTTGTTAATCTCTCTCTCTCTCTCTCTCTCTCTCTCTCTCTCTCTCTCTCTCTCTCTCCCCCCACCCCCCATTCCCTCTCAAGTCATTTGAGGAAATCAATGAAAGGTATATAAAACATGGCACAATGTAGTGGCACCCGAGAATAGCATGACTGTGCTTTATTTTTAACGTTTTGATGCTTTATAGAAAACGAGCTGCCAATTAAAAAGTACATACTTTTAGTAAGCTATTGCATTTTCACTTTTAGATGCAGTGCTTTTAAAAGCTAAATGACAGAGTTGAAAGAAAATTGCATGTGCTTTAGTTAAATAACAATTATCATAGTATGGGTTTTTAACTTGAGATGTAGTTTGTCTTTCCAACCTAATCTCGACCATCTTTCCTGTCACTGCACACAGAACATTTTGTAGATCCTTAGACTTATTAGTTAAATATGAGTGCTTGAACAAATCATTCATATCTGCCTTGAATAATTTTACGACTTAATGTAATTTTAATGGAACTTCTCTCATGTTGTCTTCAAAAGATAGGCATGCATTTATCTTCTCTTCATGCTCAGCTAACCTAAATGAATCTTCCTCTTTTGATTTTTGTTTTTGCTGTTGTTTTTAGCACTCAGTCTAAGGGAAATTCTTTATTCTTTTAAAAGTCAAAGCATTAACATGAAATTAGGAAATGTTGTCTCTAAAAACATCAGATCTGTGTTTATCTTCTGGAGCTTCTAATAGTGACATGCTGATACTGATCTGACACATTTTCCCTTTGTTCCACAGCAAGACCTGAGGTCTCGCCTGGTTGAGCCTAACGCTTTTATCTTTTTTTACCCCTTTAGTGTAAATTTCTAATCTTGTAAATATTATCTTCAGTTTACTTCAATACCAGATTGTGAACTATCATAAAGTAAAATCAGAAATTTATATTTGTGATATATTAAAATATGGAAAAATGGGTTCGGATTAGAAACTTGATTTTTTTAGGTAATAAAAATAGTACAGGTGAACTTGTTTACCTTTAAACAGAATATCAAAATGTCAATACATTTTAAGAAAATAATTTGTATAATAATATTTGTATTAATCAGTAAGGGTTTTATTTCAGTGGCTCTGTTACAAATAAAATAACCCAGAGAGCTTTAAAAATGCTGATGCCTGGCCCTGTCCGGTTTGGCTCAGTAGATAGAGCATCAGCCTGTGGACTGAAGGGTCCTGGGTTTGATTCCAGTCAAGGGCACATGCTCAGGGGCTCGATTCCCAGTAGGAGGGAATGCAGGAGGCAGCCAATCAATGATTCTCTCTCATCATTGATGTTTCTATCTCTCTCTCCCTCTCCCTTCCTCTCTGAAAACAATAAAAATATATTAAAATAAAAATGCTGATGCCTGAATCTTACTTCCTGAGGTTCTGGTTTAATTGGTCTGAGGTATAGCCTGGGCATTTTTAAAGCTTCCTGGGTGATGTTTATGCTCAGTGGGGTTGAGAACCTCTGGGTTATAACAGTCTGTCCTCTGGCTCAGTGATTTTTCCCCAACTGGCTGTACCTGAACCAGCTGTGCAGTTTGCTAAACCAGAGCTCCCAGAGCCCCACCCTAGAGCCACTGCATGAGTGTCCAGGATAGGCCCAGGCATCTGCCTGTTTACCTTTTCTGCCCCAGGCAGGTCTAGAAAATGATACCCAGGCTTTGTTCCCAGTTTCCTTTGTTTTAAAAAGTGTACATATTTCTCCTACATACTATTGATACTTATTTTTATCCAAAAAGTATATGGATTTACAGTGCCTTTCCTTGTACACTGGACAGTGTCAATACATATTTGCTTTTTTATATTTCATCCATTCATGGCAGGCATTAATTGGAAGGAAAGTTTGGTGAATGAAAATTTGCAAATGCTTTTACTTTAAAAAATACTATAGTACATTTTAAATTTTATAAACATTAGAATATTAACTTGCTAATCTGAATTGACATCCATTTAATTCTAAATTCTATTTCTTTGGTCTTGTGCTTGAACTTGCTCATCTGTGTGTTATTTTAATTAATCTTAATTTCATTGTCCAATGGGTAGTGAATTAACCTTTGCAAAAGCTGCATGTCACCTAAAGGAGGTTCCACTTGGGATAACCATTATTTTTCTGTAAAGGAAAAAGCAAAACTTGGGATTTGGTAAAGAAATATAATCAAAGAAAACCCTGTTAAACATGCTCGTGTGTAGGGGCACACGTGATAAGCCTGATTGTGTCACTAAGAAGCCTTTCATGTCCTCAAGACAACCTCTACTTCAAGGCTGCAGTGTTACCAATATTGCTCTCCATGAGAGGTGCTAATTACCTAGTTGGTGTTTTTTACCTTGCTGCTTTTTCTCCCTTCATGTTATATCTCTAAAGGCAGTGCTCATAGACTAAACAACTTTTCTCAACACTGGAAGTGCTTAAATTAAGGAATGCTTATTTAGATGCAAAATTTGCATATTATGAAAAACACATTTTGCTTAGAAAATGCTGTCCTATTGAGAGGATGCATTCATTTTCTCTGTTCTGCTCTTTTGTGTTATAATAATGCGAAAGAGAGTCACTGCTCATAAAAAGATGTTCACTTTCCTTTCATCGAGTGATGTTAAACTGGACAGGTGTCTACAACCAGAGTTTTTGTGCTACAAAAAGTCCCCCATTTAGTCAGTGGCATGTGTTGAGTGGCCTTAGTATATGTACTAGTCACCATTGTCTGTTAATTCAATAATTTCTCCCTCTGCATCCCCAAGGCCTTAATTTAAGCTTGTGATGTTTCCCTGGCCTGGAGCACTATGGAGTCCTCTCAGCCGACCTCACTACCTCCTTAGTCTACTTGCTCTGATTCTTCCTCAGTCTCTGCCAGGCCATGTTTCTAAACTTCCCTTTTGTGAACACTTCTGCGGCTCTCCCTGCCTTCAAAGAGGCAATGGAAACTCTTGGTGGATCCAAAAGGCTCTTCACAGTCAAACCACAAATCGCTTTTCTATTTCAACTCTGTGTCCATTTTCTAATTCTCAGAATAGCCCAGGATCACCTTTGACCCTTGAATGTGCCATACTCTCCCAGCTCCATGCCTTTATGATCCAAGCTATTCTGTCTGCAACCTCCTTACCCTTGGTCCAAATATCACCTCCTCTTTGAAGCCCCTATGGGAACCATCTCCCCTAAATCAAATGATAGTGAATTTTGTTATTCCTAACACTTGTAAACACAGTAGTCACTCTTTAAATATTTCAGTTATATTTTATAATCTTTTCCTCTCACATTGATAAAAAAATTTGTCAGACCTGAGATCCTGATATTCTCACCCAAATAAAACCCTCTTACCCTCTTATATATTCAAAGTATATTTATTAAATGCCTACTGTATGCCAGGTTACCCATTACACTGTAGTAGGGAACAAGACAAAGCCCTTTTGTGCATGTAGGTTATATATTCTGGTGAAGTAGACAGACAAAAACTAATAGGTCATAACAAATTTGAGGAAGTAAAACACAGCAGAGTAAGGGGTCGAGGGCATAGGCACCACGGTGTTTAGTGTACTCGGGGCCGGCCTCTCTGAGGAGCTAACATTGGAACAGAGATCTAAATTAAGTGAGAAAGGAGCCATCCAAGCATGTGGGAGAAGAAAGTTCCCACAGCAAGTGCAAGGGCCGAGGCTCTGTGCTACCCAAGTGAAAAAGTCCATGATGTGGAAGCCAGTGGAGTTCCTCAAAGCTGTTTAATTGTCTTCTGAGGGGGCGCGCACCGAGGACAGCTCCTAACCAAAGTTGAGGCTCCTCAAGCTAAAGATAAATGTTTTGCAATCTCTTTTCCCCTCTGCAGAATCAAGATTTTTTTTAAAGCCCAGATTTCACCTAGATACAAATGCTAAAAGTTAGTATTTGTTGGCATCTCTCCTGCAGCGGTTCTCAACCTGTGGGTTGCGGCCCCTTTGGCGGTCGAAGGACCCTTTCACAGCGGTAGCCTAAGACCATCCTGCATATCAGATATTTACATTACAATTCATAACAGTAGCAACATTACAGTTATGAAGTAGCAACGAAAATAATTTTATGGTTGGGTCACAACATGAGGAACTGTATTTAAAGGGCCAGAAGGTTGAGAACCACTGCCTTAGAGGGTCTTGAATTTATAAAAGCTATTCATTTATATTCTGTGCTTTGTTTAGTCTGGATAGACTTTATCCTCTTTCAGTGCTGTATCCCCACTACCCAGAACAGTGCCTGGCACATAGTAGGTGAACATATTTTTTGAAAGACTAAATAATAATGAGGTTTGAGAACAGGAAAGACATCATACAGTGTGTGAATTTCCAGATGGGCTCTGAACCTTTATATTATTAGGAAATAAATAAAAATTTTCATTAAAATAATAGTGATTTTTAGAACTAATTTTATAGATGCAAAATGAAAAATTGTATAATTTAATGGAATCTATTCAGATTTGAGGATATAGGAATGGAATTTCTAATATTAGCAGTTACACTAAAAATCTTAAGAATAAATGTATTTCTAGAGTTTGAAACAGTTTAAATCCTTTTTGGATACAGTGCCTCACGAAAACTACCACTACCACCACCCAAGTTCATTTTGAACAATTGCTTTACCTTTCGTTCTGTATGCTAATAATTTTTGACTTATATTTCCCTCAAATAGGTTGCTTTCTGCCATGGAGAGTACTGCTTCATTAGAGAAAATGCCTGCTGCGTTTTCACTTTTTGAGCATTATGATGACAGCTCGGCGAGAAGTGACCAGATGTTAAAACAAGTGGCTGGTAGGCATTTTAATATCTTCAAGAGCTTGATGAGATTTGGCGGTTTTTCCTTGTTTGTTTTTGAATATAAGGAAATATAACTGGCAACAGGAAAATCTTCTTTGTAAACTTTTAAAGCCAGATTCTGAAATAAAGCATGAGACCCGCACACCATTCCTGTGATAAACTGCATTTCCATTTGAAGCCTAATGACTGCTCTGGGATATCGAGGAGGTGGCAGGAGGTAGCAATGAAATCAAAGGTCTCCTGTTATTTTCTTGTGTCCAGTAGGATTTCTCTCCTCTTCTAGAGATTATTTGCTTCACATCAGCAGCTAGCTAGAGAAGGAAAAATAAATCAAATATTTTCATGTGTATTGAACAGATTTTTCCTTATGAGTGGTTTTCCCCTCTTCAATTGAGTTCTTTTTCCTTTTTTTAAAAACTAAACAGATTAGCTTAGAAGAACTAACAGCTCAGCATCATGCTCTGAGCCAGGAGCCTCCTACTCAGCTGTCAGAAGCATTTTGCCGGCTCTTCAAAATATTTTTTAATGTGCTATTTTAACAAACAAGACAATTTAAATTTCTCAAAGCTGCCGTGTTTCAGTCAAGTTACCAAGTTTCACTTACTGTACAATGTACTCAGATGTCCTCCTTAGGAGATGCTATACTCTTTCAAAACCACCTTAAAGACAGCTGCTGTTTTTCAATTGGCAAGTAACTTTCATTCCTGTAGGAAGAGTGTTTGTTTAGTAACTGGTAAAAGGCTACTGTGTCTTTAAAAAGACCCAAAATCCTACCAACCCTATGTAAAATGAAAAGTGCAGGCATTTATGGATTTTCTCCAGAAAAGTCTCAAAACAAAAGGATGTTTTCTTAGAATGTCTTTAAGAGGCATTTAAATAAAGCAGTGATTGCAAATTAAGAAATTCTGATGAACAGAGTAGATCTTTTGCTTTTAAGAGATTCTTTTTTGAGTACCCGATGGGGAATGAGAGGACATTCCATATATTTTAGAAGCCACAGGGTTAAATTATCATTCTGAAATAGTGCCTGTGGCAGTCCCAGTAATTCCAAGCTGTTTTGGGAAAATTGATCTCTGAGAGATAGGTGCTGCGGGTTGTACTTCACAGAATGGGAGCCCAAGGTGTTGACTTGTTGCTAAATAGTTTTTGTTCATTTTGTGACCAATGACACCTCTCCAACTGGTACCTGAAAAGTTAATCAGATCACTCCCTAAACAGATATAATGAGGAAAGGATGTGGATTTTTCTCTAACGTTTATTCCACTCTTAACATGATGCCTGGCGCTGGGGAGGATGTTAAGCATCCTGACCAACTAATCTCACAACCCTAGGAGGTGGGCTTTATCTCACAACCCTAGGAGGCGGGTTTTATCTCACAACCCTAGGAGGCGGGTTTTACTGTTATTCCCATTTGACAGGTGAGGAAATACAGGGAGCAGAAAAGTGTCTCTCATATTGCCCTAGACACACAGCTATTTGGGGACATGTAGTGGAGGAGTTCAGTTCTGAGTTGCTCTTGAACCACTGCTCTACACCTAAGAGGCAGAGTGCATTGCTCTGAAAGGAGAGGTAACCATAGGTTAGTGACAACCAAGGCTTCCTTGACTCTGGCTCCTGGGGCCTTTTTTTACTTAATTGTGGTAAAATACGCATAATGTAAAACTTAGCATTTCAACCCTTTTGAAGTATATAGTTCAGTGGTATTAAGTACACTCACATTGTTGTACAACCATCACCACTATCCATCTCCAGAATTCTTTCATCTTGCAGAACTGACATTCTCTACCTGTTAAATAACTCCCCTCCCCCAGCGCAGCAACCACCATTCTACTTCCTGTTTTTATGAATTTAACTACTCTAGGTACCTCATATAAGCAGAATCATATAGTACTTTTTTGTGTGACTAGCTTATCTCACTTAGCATATCTTCAAGGTTTATCCACATTGTAGCATGTGTCAGAATTTCCTTCCTTTTAAGGGCTGAATAATATTCCATTGTAGGTTTATACTGCATTTTGCTTATCCATATCATGGATGTACACTTGGGTTCCTTTTGGCTACTCTGAATAATGCTGCGCTCCTGGGGACTATTGTGAAAGCTGGCTTGAGTGGGAATCTGGATCTGGGCACAGATTCTGAAGTCCCAAGTTGATCTACTGCTCAGCTCCCTTAGTGTGACAGCTCTTTACAGGACACTTCCTCAGGCCGAGGGAATCCAGGGGGTGATTCCTCTGGCAAAGAAGCCTTAAAATCTCATTTTCTCTTTAATCCTATTCAAGTTCATTGCTACAGCAGTGTAAACAGAGTAGCTGACATATAAAATCCAGGTCTCTGATGCTTGTCTATCACAGGAATTTTAAATCCAATTATTATTATTTAATTACATCTATGAAATATTCCTATTTCCTTTTTAATTTTAGAGTATTTTGAAAAGTAAGAGTATTTCCTGTTTTTGAAAAAAAAATTCTAATTTAATGATTTTGGGAGAAGGAGAACATTAAGTACAAAATTATTTCTAACCTACATGTTTTGCTTAATTCCCTACAACCGCGTCTTCCTTAAAATTTGGTGATGGTGTGTGTGTGTGTGTGTGTGTGTGTGTGTTACCATTTTTAAAAAGCAGATATTGCTCAATATATAATTCATTAAAAAAAACAGCAATAAAAACACAGGAGCATTTTCATTGTTCATGCCTCAAGGAGTTCAACACTGTTTCAGAGACGATTGACAATAGTTGAAGCATTCTGCTTGGCTCTTCAGTAAACCTGGGCAGCATGAAAATTTACTGCATTACATTTCTCCGGATGGACTCCTTTAGAATGTGACACTGATTTCCTGCTGGGAAGACAAACAGTGAAGTCAAAGATAGCATAAGGATCTCTGAACCATTATCAGTCCTTGGGGAGGTGCCCTGACAGGCAGGCTTCCTGTCCTGAAGCCTGCTCAGCATGCCTGACCTCTGAGTCCCTCTTGGATTTACAGGAGGTGGAGTCCTAGTTCATCCCCATCATAAGGGGCTTCTTGCCTTCTCACTCCATTTTCTGTGCTCCTGCCAAAGCCATTTGCCTTCTGAATGTTAGCACTGTTTATGTGTCAGGCACTTTGCTAAGCACTTAATATATATTATGTTGCTTCGTACAACAACCCTGAGAAGAAATGGCATTATTATCATTGTTGTTGTTTTCCTATTTAAATATGAGAAGACTGAGGCTAAAATAACACAGCTAATAAGATGGGGGATCTGGCATTTACCTTAGGCCAGCCTCTCTGCTCCAAAGCCCATGAACGTGACCACTCTCTTACCCCGCTTCTTATTTTTCATACCTGTGTATTTCTTCAGCAATGTATCTCTTTATTGAATCTTTTCAATCGTCTCTTTTTGTGCCATTCTGTAGACCCATTTGTTTTTCCTCATTTTTAACACCATGTTGAACTAACCTTGTTTTCTTTTCATTTCATTACTCTTAATAAAGTAATCTCATAAAATTTGACTCACACTATTTTAATAAGCTTATCTCTTAGGAAATTGTTGACTGGAAAAAAATAACCACAAAATAAATTTAAAAGCATGACATCTTCTCAATTGATGGGAATAACCTTTTCTTTTAATTTGTAAAATATGTTCAATGCTTTTGTCTCTCAAAAATGTTGGAGGAGAATCGCATAGGCGCTTGATTTATGGTGTTGTATATACTGTTGATGTTCAATATGCAAAATTATAAACTTTCAAATCTCTAGTAAAACACTTGAGAATATTGTTGTCTTTACAATTTAAAACAATAGAGTATTAATAGATAGTTAAACCTTATACTTTTATCAGTTAATAGGGTACTTTTCCCCCTATGTAATTTTAACATTTTGTTTAAATTTCTTTTAAACTTGTAGCTATGGTCATGCTGGAAAGAGAAAATAGGATAGTACTTTCAGAAAGTGTATTTTGTTATTTTATTCATGCAAGTCTTTTTCAGCTTTGATGATACAGCACCTATAGTTAAAAGTGGTTTCATTTGTCTGTTGTGAATATAGACTCTATATCGATGTAGCAGGATATGGCATTGGTTATCTAGCAAAGCATACTCAAGTTTTTGCTTCAAAGAAAAAACAAGTCATTTGCTATATCCTCGAGTCTAACCTGTATAAGTTAATTTCTCTAAATATAGAACTATAGAAGAATATTCTCAAGTGATCCATTTGGGGATCCATTTTTATTTATTTCTATGTGTCTTTTATATACACACATATTCAAATTCAAAGAAAACGTTTTGGAGGGATACACACTGAACTGCAGCAGAATGTTAGGGTTTGGGATTAGTAGTGTTTTGGGAAAAAAGGGAGAACGCCCAGTGTTTCTGTATTGTTAGAATTTTTTGTAAGTGACATTTGAAAAAAGAAAGAAAAATCAATCCATAAAATCAGCATTAGTTACAATAAATGTTGCTTGTATTCCATCCAGTTCCACAGCCTCCTCGGTTAGAACCTCAGGAACCAAATTCTGCCACGAGCACAACCATTGCGGTTTATTGGAGCATAAACAAGGAAGATGTCATCGACTCATTCCAGGTGTACTGCATGGAGGAGCCACAAGATGACCAAGAAGTAAATGGTAGGATTGCTAATACAGATACAGGTGCATGTGTACATTTCTGCATCTTAATGTGAAGTCTTTAAACATATACATATTATGGCTCTTTCCATAAAGCATTCATAGCTACTTACAAAAATAACAACAAACCAACAGCAGCATAATGAAATGAAATATAAGCAAATTTGGAAATCAGGGTAAGGGAAAACAAAAATGCATAAATATCCTAATGGTCAACATGAATATTGTCATTGAGATTCATATTTGACTTTGAGCTCTCAGGATAGCAGGAGCAATTAAGTGACCCTCATTTTCAGAAAGGAGGTAACATGCAAGAGTTTCAGGGAGAACAAAGTTTCAATCAGTATGAGGTCAAAAGACAAGTGTAATGTGTGCCACTTTGTGGAGGAGAAAGGAGCCGTATAGGACAGTGACTTCCACAATAATTTTAATGCAAATGCACCATTGGCTGTCATGGTTGGCATTTTCTCAGCTCTACTTTGGATAAAATCTATAAACACACTACAAAGGTAATTCAGAGTGCACACTTATGAAGGCATGGGCCTAGATGTGGTATAATCTTCTAGTGTCCCAAATTAATGTGCAGATAGAGGTGAAAGAGCTTGGCAGGGGGAGTGGATGGCATGTCTTAAAGTTGAACTCCTGCAAATATCTCTGTTTAGTAGGACTTCTAACAAGACCTAGAAGCCAAGCAGTTTAAGGTTGTACTTAGTGATGAATCAGAGCTGGGAGTGCTGGCATACTGTGTTACCTGTTGAAGACAGACCCATATACAGGGTGGTGCAAGAGTAGGTTTACAGTTGTGAGTACGTGAGTTTATTCTTGTATTATTATTTATTAATTGCTCTATTATTTTCCATACAAACAACTGTAAACCTACTTTTGCCTCACCCTGTATCTTAGAAAGCAGATAATCATGTGGCAGGATTGACGTGCCCCATATAATAAGGAATTGATTATAATAAATTTCACTGATGCCAATATTTATTTATTTATTTATTTATTTATTTATTTATTTATTTTTAAAATATATTATTTATTTATTTATTTATTTATTTATTTATTTATTTATTTATTTATTTATTTATTTATTTATTTATTTATTTATTTATTTATTTATTTATTCTAGGTACATCTTGACCGGAATCGAACCTGGGACCTTTCAGTCCGCAAGCCGACGCTCTATCCACTGAGCCAAACCGGTTTCGGCTGATGCCAATATTTAAGTCTTCTGAGATGTCATGTGGTTCTTATTTAAATTAGAAAAAAGTAAGAAAAGCAATTCCTGACATAGTGTAAAGTTGGCTTTGTCCATAAGAATTTCTATTTTAGCCCGGCTGGTGTGGTTCAGTAGTTGAGCATAGACCCATGAAGCAAGAGGTCACCAGTTTTATTCCCAGTCAGGGCGCATGCCCGGGTTGCTGGCTTGATCCCTGGTAGGGGATGTGCAGGAGGCAGCGATCCATGTTTCTCTTTCATTGATGTTTCTATCTCTCTACCCTTCTCCCTTCCTCTCTCTAAAATCAATAAAGACATATTAAAATTTTATAAAAAGAATTCATATTTTATTGGGAAACTATTACCATATAGCTGTGACAAAACAGCAAGGTAAGTGCTATTATCCCATTTGCAAGTGAGAAAACCGATATGAGGTTAAAAAATTCACCCAAGGCCACACAACTTATACATGACAGCAGCAGGATTCAAACACAGTTCTTTTAGAATGCAAAGCTTATATTTTTGTTTGCTTGAATCTGTGTTTGTTTTGTTATACAGTAGTCCCCCCTTATCTGAGGTTTCACTCTCCATCCGAGGTTTCAGTTACCTACAGACAACCTCAGTCTAGAAATATTAAATGGGAAATTCCAGAAATAAACAATTCATAAGTTTTAAATTGCATGCATTTCTGAGTAGCGTGATAAAATCCCAAATGTTTTGCTCCATCCTGCCTGGGACATGAATCATCTACGCTGTGTGTGCTGCCTGCCCCTCAGTCACGTAGTAGCTGCCATCTTGGTTATCGGATTGACTACCCTAGTGTTGAAGTACTTGTGTCCAAGTAACTCTTATTTTACTGAACAAAAGCACAAATGTAGTGATGCAGGCAATTCAGATGTGCCAAAGAGAAGCTGTAAAGTGATTTCTTTAGGTCAGTGGTCGGCAAACTGCGGCCCCTTGAGTGTGGCTCTTCCACAAAATACCACATGCGGGCGCGCACGTACAGTGCGATTGAAACTTCGTGGCCACACTCAAGGGGCCAAAGAGCCGCATGTGGCTCGCGAGCCGCAGTTTGCCGACCACTGCTTTAGGTGAAAAGGTGAGTATAGTGCAATAAGTTATTTTGACAGAAAGAGACTACATTTACATTCACTTAACTTTTATTATAGTGTATAGTTATAATTGTTATATTTTATTAGTTATTATTAATCTCTTACTGTGCCTAATTTATAAATTAAACTTTATTATACGTATGTATGTATAGGACAAAACAGTGTATTAGGGTTTCTGTCTCTCTACCCCCTCAGGCATCCCTTGGGGGTTTGGGGCATATTTCCCTTGGATAAGTGGTGGATACTGTACTTCAGCTCCCTGTTTATCCAGTTATATAATGAAATCTGGCTCTCCAGATTCTCTTAGCAACTATTTGTTGCCTAGAGTACTTTTTAAATGTGCTTCACCTGCCCCCACCATTCCCCAAACACTTATATAGCCTGTGTCTCATTTATTTAATGCCTTGAATTCTGCTAATGCCAGTTAATTAATCTGATGATATACACCATGATACCATGCTGTGTGAAATAGGGGTCCAGTAACATGTTATGTACATTGTTAAAAGTGCTGGGGTAACACAACATAGCCTGAAAGGATGATTCCATTGAAAACTACAGTCATAATTTGTAGGCTATGGGGGAAATGTTTTTTCAGTGTATACGTCCTCATATCATTATTTAAATTAAATATTCTGTCCAGAAAGTATTACTCATTGGGAAATAGAGATGCAATTAAAGAAACCTGCTGAGTTTTAAAGCTCCTAAATTTCCTTTAAAAAGAAACAATATGGGTTTCTTAACTGAGGGGTTTTGAAGATGTGACATTCAAGAATAATAAGGGAAGATAACTGAAATTACCTTAGACTATTTTTTAAATCGTTCTTTTTAAGGAGAGAAAATTTCAGTAAAAATAATCATATTGGGTGTTATTATAACGCCCAAAGAGACCAGTGTTAAGAATGGTATTGAGTAATATTTACTACTAAAATATTGAAAGCAAAATAGCATAAATTTTAGGAAATGGTTGAATGAAGTTACTTCTTAGAATAGTTTATGGCTTATCAAAGTTATTTAAGTATTTCTAAATATTATGGAAATCCCTAGTTGAAAGAATTTTTGAATTCATGAGAAGGAATCAGGATTTGAAACTATGAAAATCATACTGAATACTAAAATGGTTTACTAATCTATAAAGATGCTTTGTACCATGTGGTTGTCCTATTTTATTATATAGTCTCCTAAAATATTGGCATTGCTTCTCAGGGATTATCTTGAGAATGTATTATTGAAATTTAAGCTAACAAACTCTGCAATTTTAGTATTTGCTATTGAAATGTTAATTTAATTGTAGAATATGAAGCTCAGAATCTTACTAATATGCTATTATTTTTTATAAGTGTTCATAAATAATACTATGTCATTCTAAATATCTCTTTTCAGAATGCTATTGCTTTCTTATGTATTCTAAAGTGATCTACCACATAATGATATCTGTAAGCTCATCACTTTGGGGTTTCCACTGAAAAAAGTCATAGATCAATTTTTCCAATAACTGTAACTTTCAATTAACTTTGGAAGACACCCTAGAATTTATGATTGTGTTTTATGCTAGACTTGGTAGAAGAATACAGAGTTACAGTGAAAGAAAGCTACTGCATTTTTGAAGATTTGGAACCTGACCGATACTATCAAGTGTGGGTAATGGCTGTGAACTTCACCGGATGTAGCCTGCCCAGCGAAAGGGCAATTTTTAGAACAGGTAAGGAGATGTTAAGAGGGTGTTAGGAGGCAATACTCAATTCTTCACAGACTATTAAGGTCAACAATAAGCATTTAGTAAGCCTATTGCATGCTGGGTGTTGTGTAATGTGGCATATACAACAATGGACAAATTTTGGTGGTAGGGCCCTGATCCAGTTATACACAGGTTATTATAAGAACACTCCAGAGGGGTACCAGAGTCCGCCTTGAGCGGGGGCAGAATCAGAAATACCTTCCTAGAACTGATGCCCGAATGAGCTCCTTTAAAGGTCAGTAGGAAGTAAAGTGTTAAAAGGCTGTATTCATTTGAAGAAATCCTATGAGCAGAGACATCAAGGTAAGAAACAGTGTGGAGTGTCCAGGACACAAAAATAAGTTTGGTATTATTTCTTTTACTTCAAAACAAATAGAGGAAAGCCATTAGGTGAGATAGACTAGTTCAGTGATGGCGAACCTTTTGAGCTCGGTGTGTCAGCATTTTGAAAAACCCTAACTTAACTCTGGTGCCGTGTCACATATAGAAATTTTTTGATATTTGCAACCATAGTAAAACAAAGACTTATATTTTTGATATTTATTTTATATATTTAAATGCCATTTAACAAAGAAAAATCAACCAAAAAAATGAGTTCGCATGTCACCTTTGACACGCGTGTCATAGGTTCGCCATCACTGGACTAGTTAGTGTGTACAGAGTTAATATTTGCTAAGCTAAGAAGCTCGGGCTTTATCATATAGGTGCTAGGAGTCCCAAAAAGGTGTTGCAGTGATGGTTTTAGCTGACAATGCATTCCCATGATGGAGTCTTTTCACAAGGGGCTGAAGCAGGTATACTAGTAGCATAAACCAAGTTTGAATTGCTTTTAAGATAATTTTAACTACGTCAGGGGAATCAATGACTTATTCCTACCGTTTTATCTTTTCTTCTTGCCTTTTAAAGCAAATATTTATTGAGCATCTACTGAAGGCAAGATTATGGCTAAATTTTGTGTACAGAGAAGGGGACAAGAATCTTTATTTTTATTTGCTTGTATAATAAAGAAACTTGGATAAGATTTGCAGGAAGCTAATATCGGAAGCTGGTTGGGAATGGGTGAGAACTGGGCAAGTTTTGGAAGGCAGGGGTGGGAGGGAGATCTTTCACTACATAAAATTTTATACCTTTGGGGTTTTCAACCCAGAATGTATTTTTAATAAAAAATTAAAATAAAATCATACCCGAGCATTCTTCCCAGGCTCCAGGGAAGCAGAACTTTAATTCATTGCCCCACAATTGACTTGGTTCTCTCTCTACAGCACCCTCCACCCCTGTGATCCGTGCGGAGGACTGTACCGTGTGCTGGAACACGGCCACCATCCGATGGCAGCCTGCGAATCCAGAGGCCACTGAAACCTATACTCTGGAGTATTGCAGACAGCACTCTCCGGAGGGTGAGGGCCTCAGGTAAGAACCCTTCTCCACAGGGAGACCCCACCTCTCCACAGCGAGAACCTGGGGTACCAGGAACCCAGCTCAGGGCCTAAAGTTAACCTCTGAGCTTATGCTCATAGAGGGAGAAAACTTCTGAAATCCTGCTGAGCTAATCAAATTGACTTGATTTGCAGCTCCATCACTATTCATCAATGAACTCTAGGTTTGTAATAAAACATATGCTACCATGCAGAATAATAACTCCCTTGTAAGAAAAATGTAAGTGAACATTTTTTGAGGTATGTTTAACCTGAATCATTAGACAGGATTTATGCATATTTTATGCTCATTTTAGTTATGTTAGAATAGGTACCACCTAATTCAGAAAACAAATGGTGAGTTTGTAATACAATGTAAATATGTATTTGTAATGTATAAATGTAAATTTTAATGTCTGTAATATATTGCTAATATTAAAGGAGCTAATTACACATATAATCACAGAGACATACCTGCTTCTCCAAGAGCATGAAGAATCTAGAGATTTTGCAGGAAAAAAAGAAATGTAAAGCTTTCTCACTAAAATTATGAAGCTAGAATTTATCAGTAAAGGCCTGTGCATAATGGGCATAAGGTAAATGTTAATTCATTTACTAAGCTGTGTTTTCTTCTGCTTCATGGCAATAGGACAACTTCATGTTCCATTATGGATATTAAGACCACTATTATTAATATTTATATTTTGATAGAGACATTTTTAGTTAAAAAAACAAATTTACTGAGATAAACTATTGTGGTAGGTTATGGGACTTAGAAATAATGGTGTGAAATTAGACAGCTTTTCAATAAAGTGTATTATTAAGCTCTTATTTTCATGATCAATCAACAACTGTTTATTTAGTTATGATGTGAGGTTTCATACAACTGAACAATAATTATAGTTTCTTTCAAGTGTGTGAAGACAATTTTCACAAAATAATGATCAAAAGATGAATTAACGTTGTACGGGTAGGATGTAGGCATTTCAGCAGAAGTGAGATTAGAGCAAATGTGCATCTCTGCTAACATGCCAATTGCTGAAAGGCAGGCTTCAAAGCTCAGCAAATAGCTGAGAGGTGAAAGCAGGCCAGGCCAGAGGGGTGTAGGGGAGAGAGAAGGGGCAAAATAAAAGGAAGAGGCAGAGTAGGGGAGACAGGGACAGAGACACTCAGAGGGAGAGTATAACTGACTTTTATTGAGCATTTACTACGTGCCAAGTCAATGTCCTAGATGCTTTCTATGTGTCGCCTTATTTAACCTTCAGAAGAACTCTGACAGAAAACAGATACTTTGAGAAGTTACTCAGCTAGTGAGTGGCACTCGGGATTCGAGCCCTGCTTTGTTTGATTTCACAGCCCAAGCTGCTAACCCCTTTTTAATGTGGCTAAGAGGAGCCCTGTACCTTTTCTACAAAAACTTCTGATGCTATGAGAACATTATGTCAGGAGTGCTGAGTCCCAGGGCAGTCTCACCCACCCTTCTCCTCCCTAAGGGAGGAAAATCCAGTTCTCTCTGAGTGTTCTGGAATGACTCATCCTTGCTATGGCATCAGTCCCCAGCTGGCATTTGCATAAATAACATCAGCACAGTTGGATTCTTAATCAGCAGAAACCTGGAAACTCTGAGACCTAGTAGCCATGCCACTGAGGGAACTGTGATGTCATCTAATAAATGTGGCTACAAGGAGAAGAGGAAGGGAAGCAGGAGGGGAGGTGGCATCCACTGAGGGCCTTCCACGTGCCAAGAACTCATTTAGCCCTCTCAACAATCCTAGGAGGAAGGAAATGACCTCCATTAATTGAGGCTCAGGATGGTTAAATAATTTAGCCAAGGTAGTAAATGGTGGAGTCCTTATGCAGACGAAGTTAGCATACCTCAACAACCTGACCACTGGGAGCTATTATGTATCCTTAGATTCCTTTGTCGCATGAAAAAACATGGATGTAAAGAGAGAATGCAGTACCATTCACAGCCCCTTTGATTAATGTTTTTCCTTTCTCTGATCATCCTGGGGCCCTCAAAGAAAAAACAAATGTTTATTTGATATCAACAGTGAACAATGCATTCCAAACAAACCCTTCTATCAAAGCCAAAGAAACAATGACAGCTCCACTTGTAGGGGAACAGTGGCCATCCACCAATTTCATAAAGACAAAAGTTGAACTTAGCAAAACATAAGGCTTGTCATTAGTTTATTCTAGTTGAGATTTTGCCGGTGGGTTCATTTTTATCTTCCTCATCAAAGGAGAGCATCTGAGAGGCTGGATAAGCAGAAGTTTATAGTTGTTATGAAACAATACAAGTATCCTTTATTATTGAATGGATATAGTCCAGCAAGTTTAGAAATGAAGGGAAATTCCACATGCAGAGCCTTGTTGATGGTTTGGAGCTGTGTTGGAGATGGAGCTGTTTTTCAATTAGGTGCTAAAAGACTGGCCAGTGCCAGGAGGTGGAATGGTATGTCCAATCCACAGCCCATGGATGATTCTCCAGTCTCTGAATCACTGCTGGTCTGACAATAGATAATTTTTTGAAGCAAGCAAAATTTTGTTGGCCACAAATCACAACCCTACTCATTTGTTAAGTCTATTGTGGATGCACCATATCTCAATGACTTATACCCTAGGTGGGCATCAACAGACTGTGAAATAATTCATCCTTAAGCTCGGAGGCCCAGGGCTGCAAAACTTTTTTGTATTTCTTTTGGTACTCCAATTTAAGAGTTCAGGAGGGAAAGAAAAGTCAGCGGCCATACGTCTTAGGTCTTTTGACCATCTGGTTCTTACAACCACTTTAAAACATTCCTTACAGTGTCTGATGGTTTAAAACTGTAAAACATTAACTACAATCTATATTGCTCAATCTCTAAGATTTCCGCTGTAGACAGCTAGTCAGAAATAGAATTGATAAACAAAGAACCTCAAAACTTGATCACCACAGTCAATAAAAGCAAATAATTCCTACTTTCCCCTCTATTAGAACCACATTCTTCACTTTGGCTTTCTGCCCAGCAGCACATAATTTGTTGTGTGTCTTGGAAAGAACAGCAAGCCAAGGGTTGTCTGATCCCACTCACTTGACTACATGGAGGGATCATTATGTAAGGTTGCAGCCTCGGTGCCTGGGACAGTGTTTGGCATATTGTAGCTACTCAATAAATATGTATTACCTGAATGGGAAAATACCAATTAGGATTGCACACATAATACTGACTCTAATAAGGAAAGTTTGACAAGCTTTGAAGATAATCTCTTATTCAAAATGGGGAAAAAATAAAACTGTGCCAACAAAGTAAAGAAGAATGGTGAATGAGTTAATTTTAGTGTTTGGATACTTAGCTAGGAGACAGGTCTAATTCTATAGGCTGGAAACCTTTTCATGGGTCACAGATAGTAGGGCACTTATAATCTTGCTTATCCATTGGTTATATAGCCCTTATTTTGGTTCTAGGATCTATGCAAAAACCCTATGCTAAACCAGATCCAAAAATTAATCCAGAGGCCATTCATTGCAGGGAAGTAAGGGGATCAACAATTACTTCT